CTGCTCTATAACTTGTGATGCAAAACTGGAATGTCCCCACTGTGGGATAAATAAAAGATATGTTAATCCCTTAACCTTAACCAGACTAAAGTGTTGGGGTGACTGGTCATGTGACAGGTCATGTGACAGGTCATGTGACAGGTTGTGTGACTGGTCATGTGACTGGTCATGTGACTGGTCAGAATCAGAATCAGAATCAGAATCATTTTTATTGCCAACGTAAGTAACGGGAGGTCACAGACTTGGAAATTGCTTTGGCTCAGTGCAACAGTCAAAAAGAGATAATAAAAATAAGAATAAAAAACACTTCTAAAGAATAAATTTAAATTTAAAATAGAGTTACAGTTACTATTTACAATATACAAGTGCACATGGTGCACACAATGTAAGGTGACAGCAGTACAGTGAAGTAAAGTGACGTATGATGGGCAGTAAAGTGACTTTATAAAGGGCGGGGGACAGGTTAAGAAGTGTTCAAGAGTCCAACAGCAGAGGGGAAGAAAACTGTTCTTGTGGCGGGAGGTTCTAGTCCTGATGGACCGCAGCCTCCTGCCTGAGGGGAGTGGTTGGAATAGTCCATGTGCAGGGTGAGAGGGGTCGGCTGTGATACGACCAGCCCGGCCTCGAGCTCGGGCGACGTACAGGTCCTGCAGCGATGGAAGGCTGCGGCCGATCACTTCCTCTGCAGAGCGCACAATGCGCTGTAGTCTCTGTTTGTCCCTGACTGTGGCTCCAGCGAACCACACGGTGACGGAGGAGGTGAGGATGGACTTGATGATGGCCGTGTAGAACTGCACCAACATCTGTGCAGGCAGCTTGGCTTTCCTGAGCTGCCGCAGGAAGTACATCCTCTGCTGGGCCTTCTTGATGAGGGAGCTGATGGTCGGCTCCCACTTGAGGTCCTGGGTGATGGTGGTGCCCAGGAAACGGAAGGACTCCACAGAGGTGATGGGGGAGTCCATCACGGAGGGTGGGGGCGGGGGGACAGTGCTCTTCCTGAAGTCCACAATCATCTCCACTGTCTTCTGGGCGTTCAGCTCCAGGTTGTTACCACTGCACCAGGACACCAGCCGGTCCACCTCCCTCCTGTAGGCGGACTCATCGTTGTTGGAGATGAGTCCAATGAGGGTGGTGTCGTCCGCGAACTTGATCAGCTTCACGGAGTCGTGGCTGGAGGTGCAGTGGTTGGTGTACAGGGAGAAGAGCAGGGGAGAAAGAACACAGCCCTGTGGGGCTCCTGTATTTATAATCCGAGAGTCCGAGACATTCTTCCCCAGATGCACTCGCTGCTTCCTGTCCGTCAGGAAGTCAGTGATCCACCTGCAGGTGGAATCGGGCACGTTGAGCTGGGAGAGCTTGTCCTGGAGCAGGGATGGCAGGATTGTGTTGAAGGCAGAGCTGAAGTCCACGAACAGGACCCTGGCGTAGGTCCCCGGGGAGTCCAGGTGCTGTAGGATGTGGTGGAGGGCCAGGTTAATGGCGTCGTCTACAGATCTGTTGGCTCTGTAGGCGAACTGCAGGGGGTCCAGGAGGGGGGAGGTGAGGGACTTGAGATGGGAGAGAACCAGGCGTTCAAATGACTTCATGACGACAGACGTAAGTGCTACAGGTCTGTAGTCATTGAGTCCTGTGATCCTAGGCTTCTTCGGGACGGGGACAATGATGGAGGATTTGAAGCAGGCCGGGACATGGCAGGACTGCAGAGAGGTGTTGAAAATGTCCGTGAACACAGGAGTAAGCTCACTGGGGCAGTGTCTCAGAGTGGCCGGAGACACGTGGTCCGGGCCAGGAGCTTTGCGGGGGTGCAGCCTCAGGAAGAGTTGATTAATCTCTTTAGCGGCTATTGTTAGGCTGGGGGCAGGGCTGATGGGTGGGTCGTTAGAGTAGTGGGGGGTGGGGGAGGGAGAGGTGTCAGGGGCAGCATCAAAGCGACTGAAAAATAAGTTCAGATCGTCAGCTAGCTTGTGGTCATCAGCACAGGGGGGGGCTTTGGGTTTGTAGTTGGTGATCTCCCGTAGGCCCCTCCAGACAGAATGTGACTGGTCATGTGACTGGTCATGTGACTGGTCATGTGACAGGTCGTGTGACAGGTCGTGTGACAGGTTGTGTGACTGGTCATGTGACTGGTCATGTGACTGGTCATGTGACTGGTCATGTGACTGGTCATGTGACAGGTCATGTGACTGGTCATGTGACAGGTCGTGTGACAGGTCGTCATGTGACTGGTCATGTGACAGGTCGTGTGACAGGTCGTCATGTGACAGGTTGTGTGACAGGTCGTGTGACAGGTCATGTGACTGGTCATGTGACTGGTCATGTGACTGGTCATGTGACAGGTTGTGTGACTGGTCATGTGACTGGTCATGTGACTGGTCATGTGACTGGTCATGTGGGGAAAGAAAGTTTGAAAAGGTTAGTTTTGAGTCTGGATTTGAACAGAGGAAGTGTTTGATTTTTCTGATTTTTATTATTTTCCTCAATCCCCATCACACAGACCACACAATACAGATCAATAACAGGATCATGCAGTAGAATAAAAAATATATAAACATAACAAAAACGTGTACAGTATTATTGATCTTCTTTCAACACACGCACACACACACACACACACACACACACACACACACACACACACACACACACACACACACTCTTTCATGTTCAGTTTTTTCCTGGTTCTAATGTTGCCCCCATGTTTAGTCAGTCCTGACTCTGGGACCAGCAGGAGGCCAGTCCCTGTGCTCCTCAGAGTCCCAGCAGGAGGCCAGTCCCTGTGCTCCTCAGAGTGCCAGCAGGAGGCCAGTCCCTGTGCTCCTCAGAGTCCCAGCAGGAGGCCAGTCCCTGTGCTCCTCAGAGTGCCAGCAGGAGGCCAGTCCCTGTGCTCCACAGAGTCCCAGCAGGAGGCCAGTCCCTGTGCTCCTCAGAGTCCCAGGAGTCCAGTCCCTGTGCTCCTCAGAGTCCCAGCAGGAGGCCAGTCCCTGTGCTCCTCAGAGTCCCAGCAGGAGGCCAGTCCCTGTGCTCCACAGAGTCCCAGCAGGAGGCCAGTCCCTGTGCTCCTCTGTGATTTTGTCCTTTGTAAAACAAGGCTTTAACAAGGTTTTTTTTTCATTCAGATTTTTTTAACACTCATTAATGCAGTGGCTTTTTCTAAGGCAAGGCAAGTTTATTTATATAGCATAATTCATACACAAGGCAATTCAAAGTGCTGGACAAAACAAGAAAGCATTAATTCTAATGCGTTTTACTATTTATTTTTTATTATATAAACGTTTTAATGGAATTTATTGTTAAGTGCTTAAGCCGATTGTTGTAAAGGGCTCTATAAACATGGATGGATTAAGATACAGAAGCAAAAGTTCACAAAAGGGTCATGGTTTGTTAAATGTGAAAAGATTCCGTGGCACTTCTCTTTGATAAGAATCTTCAAAAGATAAAAAGTGCTGCATTGTCAAGAAAATGATCAAAGAAAGTTTATACTGAGATCATTCTTGCCCGTCGTGTCTTGTACATGTTTTTTGCCACCTGGTCCCGGGCTTAAAGCTGGATCAGTCAAAAATTTCCTCACTTTGCCCAGAGTTAAAAGCTTAGTTGAGTTTTGCAGAATAATCTTTGCAAACAAACTTGTTCACATCCAGACTCAGCTTTTAGACGATCATTTGATGAGTTGTATTTGTCCGGATAAAGACGATGGATCAGGAATTATGCTGGTTCAGAGGGACTATGTGTCTCTCTGGTCTGGGAATGCCTTGGGGACCATCTGGAGGAGCTGGAGGTAGTGTGTAGCTGCGTTTCCATTGAGCATCAAATTTCAAAATTTGAATTTGCGCATCATAAAATGTCTAATGGAAACGCGCAAATTTCGAATAAACCACAGTTTTTCGATAAAAAGTTAATGCGCTTAAAATAGGTGTTTTTTTGGACGTATCGAAATTAAGTTTTTCGCAAAACGGCAATGGAAACACTTATTTCGATATAGCGGAGGAAGCCGAGCTGCTTTATTCAGTGAGTTTTGGCTGCGCTTCGTGTGGAGACTTGGGAGATACGTGAGAGAGGCATGGGGGAGAGACGGGGAAGAGACGGGGAAGAGACGGAGAAGAGACGGGGGAGAGACGGGGGAGAGACGGTGGAGAGACGGTGGAGACAGGCAAGACCCGTGTCTATGGTTCTGTGCGCGCGTCTATGGTCCGCGCTCGGTACATGACCACGCGCGTTCGCGGAGCTGTCAAAGCAGCCACAGTTTCTCCCGGGGTCAGAGGTCAGAGAGGATGAGAGCCGCAGCAGAAGTCAAGACATTAATATATCTCACGTAAATCAACGTGTTGGTTACTTCTGTTGCCATGTTGACGTACTAGAAACTAGTGAATAAACGCGCGACCATAGTGTATACTTATTCGAATATGTCTTAATGGAAACGGCCGCTTTTGCGAATTACAGGTTTTTCGAATTTTGAAATGTATCGAAAAAGTTTTTGCGCATTATTCAATGGAAACGCAGCTTGTGAGAGGGAAGTCTGGGTGTCTCTGCTTAGACTGCTGCCCCACTGACCCGGCAACGGATGGAGCGGAAGTAAATGTAAGTATTCACTCTGGCCATTCACAGACTAGAGTCAAAGCGGTTTACAATTGTGGCCATTTTTCTCCCACTCCACACAGAGATGGGAGCGGGGCCAGTACAGGAGGCACATGCCAGACCTATTGTACATGGGTTTAGTGGTAGGGGAAACCGGAAAACATAGAGCAGAGGTTTCCAAACCGGTCCAGAAAGGGCCGCTGTGGTCAGGTTTTCAATCACACCCAGCAGGAGCAGAGCAGACTCCGCCTATTTCCTCAAATCTTCATGTTAAGACTGGGTTCTGAGCCTAACCTTATCACCAAAGCTCACCCAAAAGTCCCCATAGCGTGGGTTGTAGTCGGTTCTGATCCGCTCCTCCGTCTCCTCTGTCATTTCTCTCTCTCTGTCTCTCTTTGGTGTTAAAAGCTGTGGCTCGTAGTCTGTAAATGATCAAACAAAGCCCAGTGAAGCCTGTTGAGAGTTTTACCACAGCTCATTTAGGTCAGTACGTACCAGGCGTGGTCTTATCTGGGTTACTTCAGCTCCGGTTACCCCACAGATTGGCTCTCACCCCGGGACACGAGCCAAAACAAGGCCCCCCACTGGCCCCCTTCCAGCTACATGGATTATTCAAACGCAAGAAGCACTAAATTTAATAAGAGGAAAGTTGGACTCGCAAATAACCGGCTCTCTTGAAACTAGAACATTTACATTTAGGACAGCCCACCTCATTACAGCACGGCTAATGCGAGGGTAGGAATTGGATTTAAGAAAGATTAGGACGTAAGCCTGAGTAAGGAGAGTTTAGTTAAGAGAAAAAACAACACTAGTTTTAAATCTTTGGATTAACAACTCAATTTGTATCTTCTTTCAGGCATTTCAAGAATATCAGCCTGTCAACTAGAAACACTAATAAGGACAGTAGGCGATATGGGGCAACATGACCTCCTGCTGTTTGTGCTATTTCCAGCAAAGCTTTAAAGCTGAGGTACCTAATTTCAAACCTGAAAATATGGAATTAAAATCTTCTCTGCACTTAATTAACCCTCCAAATTTATCCAAACTCCTGCCACACAAGGATTTGGACTGTTTTATTACTTTTTATTACTCATTGAGTACGATACAGTGTGAGTTCTGTTTGTGTGTTCATGTCTGTGTGATTTGTGTGTCAGTAAAAAAACAAAAACAAAAAACAATCATGTAAGTTGTAAAATCTGGACTGGATCTACAGCCGTCTGTGTGGACTGGATCTACAGCCGTCTGTGTGGACTGATCTACAGCCGTCTGTGTGGACTGGATCTACAGCCGTCTGTGTGGACTGATCTACAGCCGTCTGTGTGGACTGATCTACAGCCGTCTGTGTGGACTGATCTACAGCCGTCTGTGTGGACTGATCTACAGCCGTCTGTGTGGACTGATCTACAGCCGTCTGTGTGGACTGATCTACAGCCGTCTGTGTGGACTGATCTACAGCCGTCTGTGTGGACTGATCTACAGCCGTCTGTGTGGACTGATCTACAGCCGTCTGTGTGGACTGATCTACAGCCGTCTGTGTGGACTGATCTACAGCCGTCTGTGTGGACTGATCTACAGCCGTCTGTGTGGACTGATCTACAGCCGTCTGTGTGGACTGATCTACAGCCGTCTGTGTGGACTGATCTACAGCCGTCTGTGTGGTGATCTACAGCTTGTGGATCTACAGCCGTCTGTGTGGACTGATCTACAGCCATCTGTGTGGACTGATCTACAGCCGTCTGTGTGGACTGATCTACAGCCGTCTGTGTGGACTGATCTACAGCCGTCTGTGTGGACTGATCTACAGCCATCTGTGTGGACTGATCTACAGCCGTCTGTGTGGACTGATCTACAGCCGTCTGTGTGGACTGATCTACAGCCATCTGTGTGGACTGATCTACAGCCGTCTGTGTGGACTGATCTACAGCCGTCTGTGTGGACTGATCTACAGCCGTCTGTGTGGACTGATCTACAGCCGTCTGTGTGGACTGATCTACAGCCGTCTGTGTGGACTGATCTACAGCCATCTGTGTGGACTGATCTACAGCCGTCTGTGTGGACTGATCTACAGCCGCCTGTGTGGACTGATCTACAGCCATCTGTGTGGACTGATCTACAGCCGTCTGTGTGGACTGATCTACAGCCGTCTGTGTGGACTGATCTACAGCCGTCTGTGTGGACTGATCTACAGCCGTCTGTGTGGACTGATCTACAGCCATCTGTGTGGACTGATCTACAGCCGTCTGTGTGGACTGATCTACAGCCGTCTGTGTGGACTGATCTACAGCCGTCTGTGTGGACTGATCTACAGCCGTCTGTGTGGACTGATCTACAGCCGTCTGTGTGGACTGATCTACAGCCATCTGTGTGGACTGATCTACAGCCGTCTGTGTGGACTGATCTACAGCCATCTGTGTGGACTGATCTACAGCCGTCTGTGTGGACTGATCTACAGCCGTCTGTGTGGACTGATCTACAGCCGTCTGTGTGGACTGATCTACAGCCGTCTGTGTGGACTGATCTACAGCCGTCTGTGTGGAGTGGATCTACAGCCGTCTGTGTGGACTGATCTACAGCCATCTGTGTGGACTGATCTACAGCCGTCTGTGTGGACTGATCTACAGCCGTCTGTGTGGACTGATCTACAGCCGTCTGTGTGGACTGATCTACAGCCATCTGTGTGGACTGATCTACAGCCGTCTGTGTGGACTGATCTACAGCCGTCTGTGTGGACTGATCTACAGCCATCTGTGTGGACTGATCTACAGCCGTCTGTGTGGACTGATCTACAGCCGTCTGTGTGGACTGATCTACAGCCGTCTGTGTGGACTGATCTACAGCCGTCTGTGTGGACTGATCTACAGCCGTCTGTGTGGACTGATCTACAGCCATCTGTGTGGACTGATCTACAGCCGTCTGTGTGGACTGATCTACAGCCGTCTGTGTGGACTGATCTACAGCCATCTGTGTGGACTGATCTACAGCCGTCTGTGTGGACTGATCTACAGCCGTCTGTGTGGACTGATCTACAGCCGTCTGTGTGGACTGATCTACAGCCGTCTGTGTGGACTGATCTACAGCCATCTGTGTGGACTGATCTACAGCCGTCTGTGTGGACTGATCTACAGCCGTCTGTGTGGACTGATCTACAGCCGTCTGTGTGGACTGATCTACAGCCGTCTGTGTGGACTGATCTACAGCCGTCTGTGTGGACTGATCTACAGCCATCTGTGTGGACTGATCTACAGCCGTCTGTGTGGACTGATCTACAGCCATCTGTGTGGACTGATCTACAGCCGTCTGTGTGGACTGATCTACAGCCGTCTGTGTGGACTGATCTACAGCCGTCTGTGTGGACTGATCTACAGCCGTCTGTGTGGACTGATCTACAGCCGTCTGTGTGGACTGGATCCCTCTCAATGTGGATCTCCCTGAGGTTTCTCACTTTTCTACAACACTTATGGACATTGGTCTCTCCCTATGGTCCAATACCATTTGGTCTCTCCCTATGGTCCAATACCATGTGGTTTCTCCCTATGGTCAAATACCACGCGGCCTCTCCCTATGGACCAATACCAAGTCCTCTTCTAAACTACTGTTGTGATTTAGGGCGATACAAGAATACGCAAAATTGAATTGAACTTTGGAGGCAATACTTTTGTTTTTATAAAGTCTGAAAACATTCACACTATGACTCAGTGCTTTAAACTTTTTACCGAGAACCCATTTGGTTTTAATCTAGCTTATTTCATTGTCTGATTCCTCTCTGTCCTTAACCGAACCGACTACAATCGCTTGTTTTCACTTCATTTCCATGTTTGCTTTGACCACAAACGGCTGGAGGTAGCGCACAACTCAATACAAGCGCCCTATTTACTTTACTGAAACACACACACACTCTCTCACACACACACACACACACACACACATAGCTTGTTTTAATTGTTTTTCCATCGCATTAAGGACTAAAGCTAAACAAAAGATGAGAGAAGAGAGAGAGAAGGATCAAAACGAGTGTGGTGGACGGCTGTTCCACTTTCCACTCAAAAAATGGCCGTCAGCGCGGTCCCAGCTTTTACACGGTTCAGCTCTCTTCCCGCTCGCCCAAATGTACGGCCGAGATTACAGCCTTTTCACAGACACACTTGAGGGAGAGTGTTTTAAGTGAGGCCGCAGATGGGCTGTATTCTCTGCTAGGGGAAAAAAAAAGTCATCCCTCGTGAAGCAAAGACAAGTCCAGTCCAGATTAGTTCAGGAAACCCCCCTAAGCACAGATTTAAGAGACAGCGGCACACGGCAAGACAAAAGACCAGGATTCTCAACGCTAACCTTCAAGCAAGAACTTAGCTCTGCCCTCTCTCTGATCACTCTCTGGTCTCTCTCTGGTCTCTCTCTCTGGTCTCTCTCTGGTCTCTCTCTGGTCTCTCTCTCTGGTCTCTCTCTCTGGTCTCTCTCTGGTCTCTCTCTCTGGTCTCTCTCTCTGGTCTCTCTCTCTGGTCTCTCTCTGGTCTCTCTCTGGTCTCTCTCTGGTCTCTCTCTCTGGTCTCTCTCTGGTCTCTCTCTGGTCTCTCTCTGGTCTCTCTCTGGTCTCTCTCTGGTCTCTCTCTGGTCTCTCTCTGGTCTCTCTCTGGTCTCTCTCTGGTCTCTTTCTGGTCTCTCTCTGGTCTCTTTCTGGTCTCTCTCTGGTCTCTCTTTCTGGTCTATCTCTGTTCTCTCTCTGAATAATATTCATACTACAAAAACTGTTAAAAAGGAATATTTTTCCATTGATCATTTCTGGGAAATTGAAGATTGTTTTTCCATAAAGCAACACAATGATTGTTTTAAGTATTCTAATAAAAGTCAGCTTTGGATTCTGAAGAAGAGGCTCAGACCAAGGACTGTTGGTGACTCACAATATTCTCTTTACTCAGAGGCTTTGGACACGATACTGGGGGCTGCAAATGTCCTGACACACAGACACACACACACACACACACACACACACACACACACACACACACACACACACACACACACACACACACACACACACACACAGACACAAACAGACACACACACACACACACACACACACAGACACACACACAGAATCAAACAGTAAACACAGGAAATGCGACGATAACGAGCACACAGACATTGGTCCATGAGGAGCAGAGACCAATGTTCAGAAAGTTTAACAGAAGTACATTGCAGTTTTTCTCGGTCGCTTTGGTGCATTTTTCACATTATTCTTCACATTTGCACAACAGTTTGTGCATTTCTCAGAACAATTAGTGCAAACTGCAAAACCTGGTGGAGAACCTGAAAAAGTGCATCACTTTCACAAAATGAAAAGTTAATTCCTCAAAAGCAAGTCTTCAGGTCGATGAAACTGTGTCTCAGAATAATAAGTCCTGACAACATTGAGTATGAACAACAGTCACATGACTTAGTCATGTTTTCATTGTGACTTTTCTCTCTGTTTTTAAAGTCAAAAAGTCAGATCTCGTGACACTTGAGAACGACTATGAGCACACTATACACGACCTATACAGCCATTTACAGTAAAAACTACAGTATGTATGTATGTATGTGTGTATGTATGTGTGTATGTGTGTGTGTATGTGTGTATGTATGTGTGTATGTGTGTATGTGTGTATGTATGTGTGTATGTATGTGTGTATGTGTGTGTGTATGTATGTGTGTATGTATGTATGTGTGTGTATGTATGTGTATATGTATGTATGTATGTATGTATGTGTGTATGTGTGTATGTATGTGTGTATGTATGTATGTATGTGTGTATGTATGTGTGTGTGTGTATGTATGTGTATATGTATGTATGTATGTATGTATGTGTGTATGTGTGTATGTATGTGTGTATGTATGTGTGTATGTGTGTATGTATGTGTGTATGTGTGTGTGTATGTGTGTGTGTATGTGTGTATGTGTGTATGTATGTGTGTATGTATGTGTGTATGTGTGTGTATGTGTGTATGTATGTGTGTATGTATGTATGTATGTGTGTATGTATGTGTGTGTGTGTATGTATGTGTATATGTATGTATGTATGTATGTATGTGTGTATGTGTGTATGTATGTGTGTATGTATGTGTGTATGTGTGTATGTATGTGTGTATGTATGTATGTGTGTATGTATGTACTGTATGTATGTGTGTGTGTATGTGTGTATGTATGTGTGTGTGTATGTGTGTATGTACTGTATGTGTGTGTGTATGTGTGTATGTATGTGTGTGTGTATGTGTGTACTGTATGTATGTGTGTGTGTATGTGTGTATGTATGTGTGTGTGTATGTGTGTATGTATGTGTGTATGTGTGTATGTATGTGTCAATGGAGTATGTTATTGTGTTATTATCATATTAATAAATGTAACGTTAGACTAGTAGTATTGATCCAGGCAGGGTGAAGAATGTGCGGAGTCAACCCCCAGCTATTATACACAGGAAGTTAAATTAAGAGGAGTGCAGAAAACATCTGTTATAGCCTCAGGCTTACTTTGAGAGGGGCTACTGTGTGTTTTGGAGAAAGGAGCTATTGTGTTCACCTAAGGATGGTGAGACATGTGTTTTCAATTATCAGGTCATGTGACTGTGTGCTTACATCGATAGCCTGTTCCTGAAACAGTGTCTTTTTGCTTTGGCTTGCCAGGGAGAGGGCCCAGACTGGAGAACCAGTCTGCTACATTTGTCTGTATCCTGTATCCTGTATCTTATATTCTGTCTTTTATATATTAAACCTTTTTTATATATCTAAGCAGAATTTGTGGTCCATTTTTCATCGAAGGAGAAACCGTGGCTGAACCAGCGTTAACATATTTTGGTCCTTCTTGAGCCGGATGTCAAAACATCATTTTTTTGGAGCTGACCGTCGTCCTACTGAAGAGCTGAAACAGCAGCGTGGCTTGGAGGTTGCAGGTCGAAAAACAACTGCAGCAACAGTCTCTCTGTGTGGGGTTTGATCAGCATCGAATTTCGGATTGAAGACACAAAAGCCACGGACATCGCGATAACAGGCAAGTGTGAATGTACTTTTGAAGTCAATTTACTTTTGACTCAAAAAAGAGGCCGGGGATAACGAGGTTTATCCTTTTTAATAGTCGAGGAGCTATTTCTTAGGCCTGGGATAACGAGGTTTATTCTTCTAATAGTCAGAGAGCTATTAAAGACAGTCAGAGGGGGAGCCCGGAATAACAACAGGTTATTCTTTTAGATAGTCTGGAACTATCATAGACTGTAATAATAACGGGGTTATTATTTAGAGTAAGTCGGGGACTACTTTTTACTGCAGTTAAAAGTGAACGGGGTTCATTTTGAATTAAAGACGTCTGTGTGAATGTGTGTGTGAAAGGAGATCAATCTATACTCGAAGCATCGGACAACCAGAAACCTTGCGGTGATAACAAAAAGTTGTCGGCTGGGTGAAGTAGAGTTGGATTGCATCTCATTATGTTTTAAGTAATCGTGAAAGTGGTCTAAAACAATTACATTCCTTGTGATTAAACACCCAGGAGAAACCGGATGAAACATTAAGTTTTGTCTAGAAGCTTGTTTCTCGAGGAAGTGATTTGGCCCGTGAGGCATTCCACTAAGATCGTTTACAAATGTGTAATTAATATCCACTGTTGTATAAGCAATAGTTATTAAATAGAAGTTGAAGAAGATATCTAAGTAATTTACTAAAGAGTAAATATGGGTTCATCTTGTACTAAAACTGTGGATCTGAAAGGAGATCCTAAGTTTATGCAGAGAAAAAATCCTGAATCAGTTAAGTATTTAAAAAACTGGAAGAAGAAGTATGGGTTTGAAGGTAAACTAACACTAAAAGAGTGTGAAACACTGGTGATGAAAGTTAGTTTAGGACTTAAATCCAAAAAGTTGCCATCAGAAAAACAATTGCATGAGCAGAAAATGGCAGAGCTGTGGTTAGTTGCAGCAAAGTGTAGGAATAAGCAAATTAAAGAAAAGAAGAGTGAAACGAGCCTAGTTGCCTTTACAACAGAAGAAGACAATTTGGTACAGGCAGGGAGGCGCCATGTGCAGCAACAGCAGCAGCAGCAGCAGCAGCAGCAGCAGCACCAGCAGCAGCAGCAGCAGCGGCAGCAGCAGCAGCAGCAGCACCAGCAGCAGCAGCAGCAGCAGCAGCAGCACCAGCAGCAGCAGCAGCAGCAGCAGCAGCAGCAGCAGCAGCACCAGCAGCAGCAGGCTGTAGTACAGGCTCATAACCACACGGGAGCACCACCTCAATATACCCCACTGCAACAGACAACAAATCCATTCTCAGATCATCCTGTAAAACTACAGGATCATTTGTATCCACATGCAGAGCTAGAAGCAGCAGCACAGCCACAAGTCTGTGATGTAAAAACACCTGTTGCTACTAGATCACGGTTTCCAATGAACGCGTCGTGGAGCAAACAATTTGGAAACCTTT